TTGTTTATCTGTGTTAGGGATGCATGGAACCAACTGGGAAAAATGAGTAGTGAGAGCGCCATGGCTGCCTATGTGGACGAGATGAAGAAAGTTGCACAGGAGGTACATTTATTTTATACATATAAACAAGCAAATTCACACAAGTTAATTAGAGGCTTCCCAAACAGCCTGCTTTTGTTTAGCTGTTTTTTTTAGCTGCTACAAGGGAAGGATTTGGTGCTTTATGTCAAACACACAAGAAAATTGCATAATAAACACTTTTCCAAAGACAATATGAAAACATTGAAATTTACCAAGCAATCCAAGTAAAGTAATTGCATATACAACAGTTATTCATCAAAACAATTCAAATGAATGCAGTTATTTAAAAATAAAGTGCAAAACAGACAAAAACTAACTGACACATCTCAGTGCATCATGCTTGAAGACAATTGTATGGTGTCTCTCAGTCAGAATGCGGGGTTCTAAATAATGTGACAGGGTATGTTTTTTACCCTTTAATAACAGTAATATGACATTTCACCGTAAATAATAATAATACAGATATGTTGTTTTTGAACTCTTACCTTACTGTTGGATGAAGAATGAGATGAACTTCCACAGTAGCAACTGTTACACAGTGCAGCACTCTTTTCCTCCAGCCAACACGAGACTACATACATAACAGGGCAGCAGACACAGAGCAGGTGGGTGGGACACACAGCAGCAGGCAGCTTTCCCATTGGTTGAAACATACTGGAGCCTGTTTATTCTGATTGATTGGGCAGGCTGTCCATCTTTCCTCACCTCTATCGTTTCTTAAAGAGGTACCCTCATTTTATGTGGGTTAAACAATGTATGTTGAAACTGGATGCAAGAATAAACAATTAGCTGAGACGTTACCACTACTTTGGCTCTAGTTATCTGGTAATAAGGAGTAACAGTCCCATACCAGAGTTAATAGAATGGACTGGGATTTTTATAGCACTTGTCTTTTCTCACTGATCACTCAAAAATCTGCTTCTGTTTAAATGTCTCAGGGACTTGCAGGGAAGTAATGAATCTCCTGATCTCTAAGTCTTCTTATGTCCCTGTAGGTCATTGACACCATGCCCATTGATGAGAATACAGCCTCACTCTTCAAATACTTTGAGCCTCTCTACCTGTTCATTGATGACATGCCCCGACCTCCAGAGTCACTGCTGAAACTCAGAGAAGGTCAGTGATTACGTTCTGTGTAATGAGGCACTTACAGGTTTGGGTTAAAAGGTTCAGCTACTGAGAATCTAATAAGTTATTAAGCACTAATGGCTTCAGATAGGAAGCCATTAGTACTTCGTTTCAAATTACACACTATCATTTGTTTCATGGTGTTGCAAAATACACTGTTTACGGCAATATTTTTTCATCGGGGCACAGAGGATACCAGCATGGCCAGAACCAGTTAGCTCCAAACAGAAGGACCAGTCAAAACAAATCGAGCACCTTATTTCTAAACGAGTGGCTACCTCTGTAGCATGGACATGGTTTAGTTATGAAAAGTCTGACACGGACCAGAAAACTGTAATCTGCAAATTATGGCGCAAACCGGTCCCCACCACAGACTCAAACACGACAAACCTCTTTAACCACCGACGCAAGAATCACGTGAAAGAGTGTGGAGAGAGTTTACGGATGAGAAGCAACAAAGAGCCGACAGGTGCTCAAAATAATCCTCAGACTCAAACATTAGAGCAGACCTTTCCCCGCAGCACACCGTGTACTAAATACTAGTTTAATTACATACTTACCGTTACAACTTATGTCTAAAATTGTATAGTTTAATGCATTGGTCAAAACACTCAACTCCAGATACATGATGCCCAGCTGAAAACACTTCAAGTCGAGTTGTCCAGGATTCACAGAATTGACAGAAAATGCAATATTTGGTGACATATATCGTTATTGGGATGAGAAATGTTTTATATCAGGATATGAGATTTTGGTCATATCGCACAGCCCTACTTTGAAAACCTGTGGCCCTAATGCATAACCAAATAAATAGCTTTAATAAAAACACCTCTAGTGACTTCTGCATGATTCTCAGGGTGTATGTTACCGTATGTCAGCATGTCAGGAGTACCATATGTAATGGTATGTAAGGATCTGATACCTCTGGCCTAATTTTGACTTTTGGGGGGGAAGCTTTGTCGAATTTATGACGTAATCTACGTGAGTGACGTTGTTCCTAGCATGTATGCTAGTGCTGGTGCATTATGTGTTAATTATTGTGTGGTCATGTTTCGGCGTTTTATTTGTGGTCCCAGCTGAAAAAAAAGAAAATACTTGAAATATTTTTATTAAAATTTTTTCCCCTCGTTCATTGTTGTCGTCATTTTTTGCGGGGATGCAAACATATTTGTCCCTCTAGTACTTTTCCTCCATTCCAATAGTTTCTCCCTCTAGGAATTTGCTGACATTTGTGGATCCTTATATTGATGCTATGATTATTATTTGTTATTATGAGGCGGTGATTGGTATTCTTTTCCTAAGAAATTAAAAACCGGCGAAAAAGTAGCTGGAAATGCACAGGAGGACTCAATGGTGCTGAACAGGCTAAATACAATAGTTGCGGGTTGTACGGACCTGACATGACATGACAGACTAGTGCTTCTGCCTTGTAGCTAAAGTTGTAAAATGTAGCTGTGCAAATTGTGGACTTTAATAAGTCAAACTTTAGACTTGACACGGTCTCGGTCTTAATAAAGTGAACAGTGAGGCAGCGAAGTCTGGTCTCTGTGGATCCTTTAATGCCTCCACTGTAAGTACAGTGGGGTTATGTGGTTATTATGCCTCATCACAGATATATCATCATATGACCGGTTCAGGTGTTAAAAGCTTTCACCCAAATTTAACAGTGTCAAAGGTAAACTGTCTGGCAGACAGGCAGCTCTCGGACACCTGGGCTGGACTCTAAATCAATTATAAACCAGTTATAGAGCGAAACCTTTGTTCACATACAATCAATCCTTGATCTGATCACAGATCGTCGTTGTATTTTCCTTACAAGTGCTCGTCCTGCTCACTTCTCCCACAGTGGGGTACTGGACCTGGCCTTTCTCACTAATCCTTCGACATTAACCTGGACCTCTAGTACAGGAATCGGCTAATTGTATTAATTTGATTACATTTCTTTAATCAGTTGTCTTTTTCTACTTCAGAGCTTGTGGGAAAATCTGGTGTATTATGTCATATTTAAGCAGAAAAGTCTCAACTGCTTACAAAAGCTTTTAATCTGTACGTGATGGTGTAGACAGTTAAATCTCTGAATTTATTAAATACTAAATAAATGTAAATAATTATCTGTGTATTATAAAGTGAAGTGAAGAATCAAGTTCTGTTTTGCCATTTTCACTTAAAAGATTCCACAAATGATTTTTTATTTTTTCTATTAGGGCTGAAAATGTGTTTCCTGTCATGATGTTGGTTCCAGCAAAATGCCTGTTAAACCCAGCAAACCAACACAAACACGAATACATTTGATTTTACTTGCAGCTGAATCTGCAGTGTTGGAGGTTATGCCGCTCACCAGTGATTCAGAAAGTGAAATTTTCTCTGATTCAGTGGATTCGTTGGAGCTCCATAACGTCAAGGTGTGAGGCACATCTGCCAGTTAATAACACAATGTCTTAATTTTAAGAAAACATTAACTAACTGAATTAACTGTGTCTGCTCACAGACCCGGTCAGACAGCTTTTATAATGACCACGTGCCCCTAGAGTCCTCTCCAGCTCAAAGCCAGAAGCAAGGCCGAAAGGTTGGGGCAGGTCAAGGTGGAGAAGGAGCAGAGGATGGGATGGCTCCAGACAGGAGGAGTCGGCACACTGGGCAAGAAACTTCTCAGCGTGATTGGAGAGAACGTAAGCTGCTATGTAATTTCTAAAAGCGTTAATTTTATTATTGGATAAACCGGGTGGCTGTAGCTCAGGAGATCGAGCAGGTCATCTACTAATCGGAAGGTTGGTGTTAGACCCCTGGGTGGCCCCCTGATCCAGGGGGCAAGACACCAATGCATCCATTGGAGTATAAATTTGTGAATCACACACATAGATAAAAAGGGTTCGTGTGGGCGTGGGTGTTAATGCAAGTTGTATACAGCGCCTTGGATGCAGTTCACTCTTGTTAGTTAGTACGAGCTCATTAGAACGTTGTCAAAGTCATGTAGTTTTGTGCGATACAAGCTGCTGTTCTTTATAGATTGACATAATAACTTATCAACAAGGCCTATACTAGAAGAGCTAGAATTATCAGCTAGTTACTAAAGAGATATCACAGAAATGTTCTGTTGTTAAAAACACAGCTAAATGTTATCATGTGTTGCGCAGCCCAGGCTTTGTGGCGTATTGTCTGGTCATGCACCTTTGTTGTGGCGAATCCTGTCGTTCAGGAGAATCCTGCAGCAGCTTTCTGCGCTGTAACGATAGGTATAAATGAAATACCCATCGTTGCAATGAAATAACATCTTATCCTAAAGATTGTTATAATAAATCAATGAATAAAGAGACAGTTGAAGTGTTATGGTCCACAGGTGCTCCACAGGGAAGTCTGGGTTGGTCCCCAGGTGGTGGAAGTGGGCATGGACGTGGAGGAGGGCACGGTTCAGAAGGTGGTGCAGAGATGCTGCATCAGGCTCACCTACAACAGCAGATCATCCTGGCTCTTCAGAGGCTCAGAGAGGACATGAGGAGTGTGATGGACAGATTGGAAGTGTTGGAGAGGCTTGCTGCCACACACGTAAGCTTTCCTACGTCCCAACACTTCAAGTGTACTTTCTTTACCGTAAAATGTAAAGGATAAAAGCTCTTAATTACAGGTTTACAGGAAATTACATAGCTGAAGTTTGGGAGTCATTTCAGTTTACTGCTGTGTTGTGTGTGGCAGGCTCACAATTCAGACTTGAGATCACACCTGCAGTGTTCACCACAACAGGTACCAGGCTCTGATTGTACTCATCAAAGAATATCGTCCTATCATGCATGCTCATGTAAACAAACATGTGGTCACAGGCTTTTTTCTCACGTGCTGTGGGATTTTGCCCCCCACCCCTTAGGAACAGATGTCGTGGCCATTTGACATGTCTGGGCAGACTGTCGTCTTTTTGCTGCTGTGGCCTTTTGTTGCTCACTATCTGGTCTACCTGCTGAGGAAGAAAAGTCGCATGTCTTCATGAAGCAGCTGATATTCAACGTAAGACCAGTGAACAAGTCCACAATATCTGTGAAGGAGTTTAATGGGGAGAAGTTATCCTCTACATCATTATGTGATTTGATGCTCACCATGGATTCATCCTTCAAAAATATCACGTCATTTACGAGCATCCTATAAATGTGTTATATATGATTCTTGGCACATTTTTAAATAACTGTAATAAAATATTGTTCAATATTTGTTGGATCTCCCTTAAGCCTTCCCACTCTGGGTGCCCCAGGATGTAGTGCCTTAGTTGTAGGCAGAGTAGGCACAGAGACCCATACAGGTATGAAACAGGTAGAGGAGTCTAGGTGGTAAGCTTCAGTCGGTTTGTATTGCTACAAACAGAGACAGTGGAAGAATCGCCCTTCTATGTGCAGTTCTGTAGGTTCACAGTGTAATTCACTTTAAATGTGAATTACACTGTGAACCTACAGTCTTACTGGAAGTGTCTAAAGAACCTTAGATCACTCAAAAAGTTTGTTATTTTTATTTTGTTTTTATTTTAAGAAATCCTGTCTGGCAGCGTTTGCAGTCAAAATTATGAACATGTTTCTTTCCCAAGATGATTTCCATAAATTCTCTTTTGGCTTCCCTTGTTCATATGATTCTTTTTATGTTTGATTTTTCATTTCTATTAGTGTTATTTCAGTTATTATATATGTAGTATGACAAGGTCTAAGGCGGGAAAAAAGTTAAGGTGGTATGGGCATCTCACAAGGGCGCATCCAATGCAAAGTGTTTCGAGGCCAAGAGACGGTGAAGAGATCTCGGGATGCCTCGGTGTCCCCTTAGATAAGTTGGAGGTGGCTTGGGAGAGTGAGGTCTTGGTGGCTGTGCTTAGGCTGCTGCCCACCAAGACCTGGCTCCACAGAAGTGAAAGAAAATGGATTTTGGATGTAATTCAGGTAAGAAAATCTCCAAATGGCTGCAATCACAGCTTTGCAAGAGTGATGAAAACATTTCTCCCACTGATGCTACATCCAGATGAACAATAAACATATTGGATGGTGTATGGAGTAAGATGCACAGGGCTTTTTGGGGCGAGTTCTTCTTTCATTCATTTTACCATGAATCTATGGATCCTGCCTTTAAGCTGAGAAGCATTTATTTTCGATTGACTGTATATTTGGTGCCTCAGTCTGTTTCCTTTCTAGACAAACATGAGTAAAGTATGAGCATTCTCTTTTTTATTTTGGACTAATACAATCATCATCATCCTTCATTACATTTGGTCTTCAATGGCCAATGTGTTGTAAACTGGAAGAGTGCCCAATCCTACATCTCCCACATTGCAACTGGGCAGTATCTTTTTGGAATTTCTCGAACTGCTACTGTAACCTTTCACTTCCCCTCTTTACTTTTCTGAGACAGAAAAAATGCAGTGCTTCTTAGTTCCCAGCATGATGAGAAAACTGTCCCGAATTATGAAATAAATAGAGCTGCCCTTTTTATTAAAGGTCAATTATTTTTAGTTATTGAAGCACAAATATTACTAATCCAGTTTCAATACAAATAATTTAATATGTATAATATTTATATACACAGGTTAACAAGACTTTGCGTGGACCAATTTTGCAACACTTGTACAGAGTTACATGCACCAGGGCACAGACAGAGAAGACAGACAGATTCTAGATATACAAACATGGAGTCTGGTTTGACCACAGCTAATGTCAGTTTAGGTCACACACATTTTTTTTAACCATTCCAATTTTTCATTCTTGAAACTTGTTTTTACAAAACTCAAGTTCTGGGAAGGAATCAAAAAAATACCGAAGCTGTGAAAAAGAACAAAAAGCTAACATCACTCAGATGAGACTGTGTGGTTTTGGATTTAAGGACGTGGTTTGCTTGCTGCTTTTAGCTGCTTTCTTGTCTCTGTAACACTGACATTAAGTATGAGTTCACAATATGACAAACAACAAATATTTATCATGTTTGCACACTGCTGACACTGTATGATTACACAAACAGAGAAAAAAAAAACACAAAAAAATTGGCATGACTTCACATAGCTGCCCTGAAAACGTATGACGAAACAGGTTTTATTATAGGTCTGGCCCTCCTCATGCAACACACACACACATACTGGGAAACACAATAGTCTTACTGTACACTTAAGGTTTGCATATTTGTATTTGTTTTGACCATGCAAGTATTTTTTAGTCTAAAAAGTCCAATCATACAGCGAGAGACTAAGAGTGGCGATTAGTCAAAACCAGAAGGCAAAAGGAACACCAGTTATTTCAGAGTCAGGCTGCAGAGAAAAACAAAGATGAATTCTTTACTTTGACTTGCTATAACTAGAGCAGCAACAGCTCTTCAGCTAAATTTCAAATGTCTGCTGTGGTACCACATAGCACTTTTACATTTATACTGTTGTAGGTTTTCATTCCAAAAGGTTACAGCCTCTTTATTTATTGCATGCAATAAATAATGAATCTAGAGTTCTGTAGTGTGCAAACCATTATTTCTTCATCTCATTTCTTCAGCTCTGCACCTGCTCCATTGACAGAGGAAGATGTGCGTGGACTTTTTTTTGGTTCACAAGATTATGAATGCAGCTTTCTCACTAATGTAGCTAGCCTCCATCTTTTATATGGTTTATATGAAGTGTCTGACATCAGTTGTTGTCAGGAGTGCTATTTTCTTCCTCATTTTTGAAGAAGTGTATATTTGATTTGATTTTACGCAGTTTTATTTCTGACCATATTTGTAGGAGAGAAAAATCCGCAGCAGATGGGAGGGAGTGCAGTATGTGAAAATAAGATAAAGATCCTAGTACCGTGCATTATTGTTGTCACTTTGGAATGACATTGCAATTGCACACAATGACATTTTTTTCCAATGACACATTACATCTCCAATAGAATATTCTGGAGACAGTTTTCCTGCTTGTGGACAACTGCGACACAGTGTTAGTGAGTAAAGGCCAAGTGCTTGGTATTCATTAGTGTGGATGAAACAGACTGGTTAAACTACCACTGTGTGGCGACGCCATGCTCTCAGCTTGTCCTGCAGGTCTAGGCCTGATCTCCTTAGGATGACAGTGGAATGTCCTGAGGAACTCTGATCTATCCATCCTGATGAAGAGGAGATGAGAGAGGGAAGCTTCTGTGCACAGTGAGGTAGGGACCTGGGACCTGGCTCTCCCTCAGTCATTCTGACTACCTTCACCCTATCATCTCTGCATCCTCTTACACTATCCTCATTCCTGCCCAGCTCAAGGTCAAGATTCATGGACACAGCCCTTGTCCTCCCACCTCTAGTTTTCCTATAGCAGATTGGTGCTGACTGGTGCTGAGCAGTTCCACTCTGGCTGCTGATGTTGCGTGACCTGGTGGGTAATACCCAGAAAGGAATGGTCTGATATCCTCTGGCCAGACTGTGATTAAAATGGGAAGGAGGGTTCCTGAGAGGTGGTGATTTTGAGCATGCGGTGTGGATCTGACGGGTTGAGTCAGATCCTCTATTTGGATAAAGCTGTGATGGTGGTAAGTTGGTTCTTTGGCTGTTCCTCCTTTTTGACATCTTTGCATCACTGCCTGCTCCTTTTGCTTTAGCTTCTTCTCCTCCTACAAGTGAGATCTTTCCCTCTATCCTTTTTTCAGTGTTAAGGATGGTTTGTTCTCCCTCGACTTCATCTAGCTCTCCTCTTTCTTCTTTTTCCCCTACCCCTCCTTCACCATTGTTGCTGGCTTTGGCTGGTTCGTGCGCAGAAATCTCATCAGTGTTTCTGCTCACCGTGTGGATACTTGGACTTTTTTTATGTTTGTGGGTGACGGCAGCGATGATGGACTTGGTGTTCGGATCTTTTTTGGATGCAGAGGAAAGCTGAAAGGTTACCACTTGTAAGTATTTGTAATTATGTTTTTTCTATTGCAAAATGTGATATCCTATTCCAAGAATTAGCACCTACCTTTAACTTAAGAGAATCGCTGGTGGTGGAACCTGATAGAAAGGAAAAAGTAAGTTAGTTAATGTCATCATTGGATGGTAGTAATGTTAGGATGGTCACAAAATATAAAAACATGTAAATAAAGAGAAATCACAGCACAAGCTGCTTTCAAAAAGGCAAAGTGGAGATGTTGGAAAAAACAATAGTTGTGGAAAGAGCACAAATGGTTAAATGAATCCAAAGAAAGAGCAAACACACAGAAAGGAAGACCTGGTCCTACCGAAGAGGTTGATCCACTGTCTCAGCTAGAAAAAAGCACAAAAAGGCCCAGAAGAAGAGAACAGAGGAAAAAGTAGGAAACATTGTCAGTATCTACAAGCACAAACAGAACAGAGGTCTGCTGAGAAAGAAAAATGCTGTCAGTTGATGAGGCTACAGAATTATGAATAAGGAGGGAAAGTTAAGACTTTCCAACTAAAGCAGTGAGGCTCTTTTCTTCAAGTTGTATGTAAGCAGTGTTTCCACTGCTCATCTGAATTAACCATAAATTGGCAAGAGTCTGTGTTCAGTGAGGAAATAGTGAACTCAGTGATTTCTACTAAAGCCCGTCTAATGTTTCAACATTTCTGTGTTGCTAGTGTTGAATGCAGTGGCATTAGATTGTCAGTGTCTGAACCCCTGCATACTCTTGCTGGGTATTTTTGTGCACCAGGAGAAACCAGGACCCATTGCACCAAAAAGGGTCTGACAGTACGTTTAAGGAATTTATCCGAACACCTAATGGCAGTCAGGGTGCCTTTATCTAGTCTTTGCCTAGAGGTCTGTGCGTTCTTTCATGAATATGCCTCCCCTGAGCGATGTTACGCACAGCATAACGTTGGCCACGTCGTCTCCAGGCTATTTTATGCCTGTCAAAAGTGACCAGGTGAAGATGCTGCCCTCTGTGAAATGTACAGGGCACCATTGGTCAACCTATCAATTCTGGTATTCTATAGCAAATGCCAGTTGGGTTCCATGGTCCCAGGCAGTGAGCAAAATGCTGAAGCATTAAGACTTCTTTTCACTGGATCTAAGGCACCCGGCCCAACTGCTGAAAAACCACACACCATAATCCCTCCTCCACCAAACTTTACATTTGGCACAATGCAGTCAGACAAGTACCATTCTCCTGGCAACTGCCAAACCCAGACTCTTCCAGTGGGCTGCCAGACATAGAAGCATGATTTTTTTACTCCAGAAATTGTCACTCCATCTCTACTGCTCTAGAGTACATCCATTACTTTGCATTGTGCTCGGTCATGCAAGGTTTGGAAGCAGCTGCTAGGCCATGACAACACATTCCATTAAGCTCTCTACCCACTGTTCTTGAGCTACTCTTAAAGCTCACGAGAATCTAGCTGCTTCACAATGTGCGTACAATTGAATCTGTCTGTTGGTGAAGCATTAAAGGACTCTTGCAGCAGCCCCCACTCCTCACCTGATGCCTCTCTTGGCATGCCCGGCTTGCCAATGTTGGTCAGCAGATGGTCAATGTTGGGCAAAGGCTGTATGTCCCAATTATCATCTGGGGCCTACAGTCACACACAAACGCACGCGGGCACACACACACACACACACACGCACACGCGCACACACACACACACACACACACATCCAGCAGACATAAAAGAAGTGACGACATCTGAATGCATACAGTCATTCATGGTGTTTTCTGTTCATTTGGGTGATAAGAGCCCATACCTTCTCTTCTTTATCAAGCTCTTCATTACTGAAGAACCAGTCATACTGTTGGAGAAAGGAAACAGCTGGTATCAAGGAAATTCTGCTGCCATATTTTGAATCATATTTATCAAATAGATTCTAGTAAAGAGAGGGGCTGAGCTGTCAACTGATCACCACCTGGTGGTGAGTTGGATCAGGTGGCGGGGGA